ATATGGCCCAGCCCTACCCTCTATTACTGAGAAAAGCCACATATGTAAAGGATTTGATCAGTGATCTCTCTCTAGGCAGTCCTACCATTCACCATACAAGTTCACACCTTTCTCAAAAGAATGCTTTACCCCAGGTCGGTTTGACTCTATACCTGCTGGTAGCTGACAGCATTAGCCATGCTGTTGGAACTGGAACGAGACATCCCAGGTTTGGACGTGACCCTCTGGCCCTGCAGCTGGGCAGGGTTGGGTGCTATCACTCGCTGAGACATCAATATGGGGGGCAAGTTTGCATTAGCTGCTGACCGGATGACTGTGTGACCCTGCAGAAAGGAGAAGGGCAACAAAGGGTTTCATTGTTCAGCAGAGATCAGAGAAAATCCCTGATGTCTGCAAATGACACCTGCTCACCTGGTTTACTGTAAATGGATAATACACACCATGGCTCATTCACACAAGCACGTTCTTCTAAGTTTAAGTGCTTTTTTATCCACCGTAGCTCAAAATTTTATCTGGAGCTAAAAATCCAGAAGATTTTGTTTTTTTCCCTTTTGAGTCTCAAAACTGAAAGCTTGCACAGTTTTTAAAAACTGGCACGTATCATTGGCTAAAAGATGAAAACAAGACCGTACTTGGTAAGAACATTCCTCTACAGTGAGTGGTGCAACCACCAACAAGGCGATGAATCATCTCAGTAAATCAGATAGGCTAACCTGGAGTCACTGATAGCATATCCACGCTGTCCCACAGCAGAGACGTGGATTCAGTCTCAAAGAAAACTGACATTTTGCTAAAGACATCAACAAAAGGCGGGAGTTCAGCGTGCGGAGCCAGCTCTGTAAGGACTCTACATTTGGTGAAGTTTAAAATGTGACTACAGATAAAAAGGAGACATTTCAGATTCCATTACTGTCCTACATGGTCACATGACCCTTTCTTACAGCCAAAACGTCTAAGGTTCATTTACATCATAGACACTGGTGCAGCTTTGCTGTTGGTTACACTGAGTGACTTCTGTAGTTCTTGTTCTTTCTTTGTGAGTCAAAGACGTCATTTAAAGTCAGCACGGCTGGTTTAAGGTGCAAGGTCGAGACAACACTACAGAACCCCAACAATCACACAGTTCCTGGAAAACAGGAACTTCACTGGTGTGATCTCTAATGAAAATGTACCCTTCACTCACTCACTCACTCACACACACACACACACACACACCTGTGCAGTGCGGAGGTTCTGGGGCTCAGGGTTGTGTAGACCTGGCCTCACAGGTAGCTTCCCCAGGACAGGAGAGCTGTGGATGGGAGGAGGCTGCACAGATGACGCAGCATTCTGGACCACTGGGACCTGCAAGAGAGCAACGATAAACCAGGACTGGAACATCTCAGATTGATTTTCTGGTGCTTTCTTCATATATAAATGTTTACTGCATATGATTTAGAGCAGGGCTCTCAAACTAAACGAGACACTGCTGGCACCGTTGTCTCATGCGAGGGCAAACAAAAACAAACAAGAAAACACCCACAAATCTCCCCTAAAATGTAGTTTTGTTTAAAAATTATTCACATTTTGTATAACAAGACAAATCTTTTTTTCCTATTTTTGTTCGTATTTAACAGAAGTGCAGACATAGGTGTGCAGATTGGTTTGTGAGTCTGTCAGTGAACTAACACACCCGTCATGTTTGTGTCTCTGCTCACGTCGCCTTCATATTCAATCATTTGACGAACTTATTTTAACATTTCACTCAACAACAAACAAAATCGTCACTTCAACAGTCAAACTGCATTTTATTTCTACAGGTCCATATATGGCAGCAAGCGGGGCTGCGAGTGGTCCCCGAGCCACGGTTTTGGGAGCCCTGATTTAGAACAATGTTACAGTACCGTCTGCAGCTAAGGGGTACACACATGTTTCAATACTGATTTCCAATATCCTGCACTATCCATTGTCTATATAGGTCATGCTCTCCAGATATAAACTATTAGACTATTATTATTACTATGTTAGGATCAGTCTATGCAATATATAATCATCAACAGCAGCTCAACGTGGCAAAGACCAAGGAACTGATCGTGGACTTCAGGAAGACCAGGAAACACTTGACCCCTGTTTCAGTCCAGGGGGTCAGTGTTGACATTGTGGAGGACTATAAATACCTTGGAGTTCACATTGATAATAAACTGGACTGGGCTAAAAACACCACAGCACTTTACAGGAAGGGCCAGAGTCGTCTCTATTTTTTGAGGCGACTGAGGTCCTTCAACATCTGCCAGAAAATGCTGAGGATTTTCTACGAGTCTGTTGTGGCCAGTGCGATCCTCTATGCTGTTGCATGCTGGGGGAGCAGGCTGAGGGTCGCAGATGCCAACAGACTTAATAAACTAATCCGTAAGGCCAGTAATGTTGTGGGGATGGAGCTTGACTCCCTCAAGGTGGTGTCGGAGAGGCGGATGCTGTCCAAGATAAAGACTATGTTGGATAACACCTCCCACCCACTCCATGACATGCTGGTCAGTCACAGGAGCTCGTTCGGTGAGAGACTGAGATTACCCATGATGCACCACTGAACGACACAGGAAATCTTTCCTGCCTGTGGCTCCCTGTACAACGCATCTACTTAACACACTGTTTGCTGCTACAACTACACATGTTTCTTTTCCAACTATTTATTTATGAGTGAAGTATGTATGTGTATATATGTATATATTGTACTATTCTTAGTTAGTGTATTGTCTGTCTTGTCTTAATGTTGGTTTAAAATGGAGCACTGTAACAAAAAATAATTTCCCCCAGGGATCAATAAAGTATTCTGATTCTGATATTTGTCTAGTTAAATTATTGAAATATTAACATGACAAACTGCTGCCGTGATTAAATAAGACACTGAAGCCTCCTTGAGCAAACACTGATTTGGCACCAAATAAAAGTGACTTGAACTGAACCCACATAACCACGGCGAGGCACCACGGACAGATGCAAAGAGCTGCAGAGCTCCAACAGTGGCCGTGACTGTGAGAATGTGTGGCATCAGCAGCACTGACCTTCTGGACCACATTCTCCTTCTGCATTTGACTCTGCCTGAGCTTCTTCAGCAGCACGAGACGAGCCTCCTCCAGACGAAGCTCTTCTCTTAGAGCTTTGATCATCTGCTGCCTCTCCTCTCCTGTTTTCCCCTGGTACAAACGAGCACACAAAATTAGAAAGGCACACTATATCCGGACATAAGACCAGAGGCAACTTCGAGCTCGTTGAACTCAACAGCCAGTCTGTATAAACCAGACTAAACCTACACAGAAGCTGCAGTTTGAACAGCGCGTCGTGTTTCTGCATCGACACAGGATGTGACTGCAGAAAGTAAACAGGACACGTTTGGCTGAAATATTCTTTTGTGCAAAGTCAAAAGCAGCAATTTAAAACCTGTTTACGTCAAGAAAAAGTGATTTTGACCAATTCATTCACAGGATTCTTCATGCATCTGTAGTAATGTCATTGCTGGTATTTAGACACATCTGTATTCCTGTTTCCATGACAGCCTGTGGAAACATGCAGGTTTCACACATGTGACACCGACTATTACTTATATTTGTTGTTGTTTATAGTCCACCTGCGTTTACTCAGAGCTTCTCCCTGATTACTCTGCTCTTCTAAAACAGCTGCTGACAATGACGTCCTCTGCTCTGCATCTATAATCAGACTCTGGAAACATTACAGTCCATCCACCACTTTGATCACACTCTGGATCTTCTGACATACAGGATGAAATTAGACTCATTTCATTACAGTAGATGTCTTTTGGAAAGTGCTGTGACTCAAAAGGTCACAACTCCTCCACTGTTCCTTTCTTGAAAACCTTGTGACAACACCGTACAGAGAAGCTACCCAAGCTCTACTCCCACGCAAGTCAATTACCTCCTTAAGAGAACAGAATTGCCTTTTATTGTCATTGTACATGTACAAATGATTGGTGCTCCACGCCAACTGTGCAGGAGTAAGAAAACAAAAACACAACAGTGTTAATAGCTCCTGTGAAAAGGAAAAGCTTCAATCAGGACTTCCTGGTATCACTCTTGGTTGGTGGTGCCTCGGCAGCTTCAGTTCAGGACTACGCTTCCTCCTGACCGTCACCCACCCGGCCTGTTTTCCCTGCTGCTCAGGACAATCTGCTGGGTGAGCTAACAGTGGCTTTGCTACCATCGCTCGCCCCGACCGCAGGGCTTAAGCTAGCTGCAGGGTTTTTAGGGTGTGAAGCCAGGTCTCATTAAGTGTAGCATCCTGAAATATCTGAGCGACCAACCTCTACACTTGATTTATGCACCAGCGTTAAAGGACTTGTACAGCATATTCAGTCTATTTCTGCCCCCTTGCAGGAGTGCTGCGAATGCCTTTTACCTTGAACATGTCCAGGTTAGCCTTGTGCACACGCTCCTCGGGCCGAGGTGTCGTTCTGGGACTGGAAGCCTCGTTGTCTGACAGGATGATGACATCCGGTGACGGAGTTCGTCTGTCATGATCAGCATCACTAGTAAGAAAAAAAGATCAAACACAAAGTGCAGTCAGTTTCTGCAGCATTTAAAGTCGTACTTTATCATCACAGGATCTGACAGCTTTACTAAACTGCGTGGGGCCGCTTGACATCTGTTCTGCTGGTTTTCCCGGTAGGTTCAATGGAAGTCAGTTTACAGGTTGGGAATCTTTAGTCATGCTCGTTGGTTAAAAGCAGAATAACAAAGAAACTGCGCCCCATTTCTAACGTCCATGTGCTGATTCTTAAACTTAAAAGCAAATCTTTCACCAGCTCCAGACACAAAGGTTTGGGGGACAGAAACAGTAATGTACATTGTCACACATTTCATTTATCAAAGAAGATTGAACATACTGTATAGCAACACTAGATTACATGTAGGCTAGTGGTGCCCTTGTGTCATTGTTCCATGTTATACATTTCATCAGCCCCACAGTTTGAGGGCCGATTTACTGAAGAACTGACTGATTTTTACAGCTGCCCCTGCTGCATGTGCATTTTCATTGCTGTAAAACAGCCATAAAACTAACCACACCTTTGGTACACCTGTGTTACTTTGTGCCGTTTAGTAATTTGGGCCCTTGAGGGTGTTGGTTACTTTTCGTGTGGTTTAAACCTTTGCTATGCACCTTGCACACAATGTACATACAAGCCCTGCTCTGTAGGGGCGAGCTGGCACCAAATACTGTATGTGGACTATTCCACAGATTTCTTACTGAACCTGTGGAATAAGCTGGTCCCTCTGTAGTCATGTAAAAGCCACAGAGACAGTGTGCCGTGGACACTTCTTGCAGTTCGGTGGCCAAAAATGTGCCAACGAGGACAAAAGTGAAGATTTTCATTGACAGCCAAGGTTTCACCCACTAGCTACTAGAGTAAAACTAGCTGCTAAGGTGAACTGGTATTGTCCTTCAAATAATCAGATAAACGATGCCTGGATTCAGGTAAACGGACATGCTATAAAGCACATGCCTGCTCTTTACACAGAATCCTTCTGTTTAAAATGTTTATTCTCACCACCTCCTCCCAGCGCTCATGTCGACTGGCTCATCCAGGATGTTCTCCTTTCCATTCTTACTTGGTCCAACGGGGCTACTGTGGCTTCCCAGCCTCAGACTCCCATTTAACTTCTCCTCATAAGCAGCACCCATTAGGCTCTGATGATGGAGGCTGCTGGCTCCAGGGCCTTTTCCATCTCCCAAGCTCCCTGCAACATCTAGGGCTGCTAGGTCAGCTAAGTCCTTGCGTTTAAGAAGTGCCAGCATCTTCAGGCGCTCCATGGCCTCGTGACCTTCCATTTTGAGGCGCTTGGCCAACGCCTCTTCTCGCTCACTGGTTGACTCAAGGCCTCGCTTAAGTAGGTTCAGCCTCAGCGCCTCCTCAGACATCTGCTCCATCCTAAAAACAAGAGAGGTCAGACAGGTCAGCAGAGCCACCTTAAACCCAAATAGGTTCAGGTCAGATAACAAACACACTCCTCTATGTAACTTAAAGCATGAGTACAGTTATCCACCACATTGGGTGCAATAGCTGAACGACTCTGGAACCTCCAATCCTTCCCAACCCTTATTCCAGATGTTCTCTCCTCCCTTTGTCAGCAAAGTTAATCCCACGTTCCTCTGAAACCACGGGGAACAACTCCAAGTTATCCCAGCGATCCGAGCTCGAATCACTTTTAATCTGGTATTAACATGATTACGTTTGTATATTTCTACACTTTTCCTAATCCAGATATTGTAATGCAGATGTAAATACAGAGAACACAGCTTTGCATGGCGCTCGATGATGAATACTATTTTTGTGTAGACTGGAAAAAATAAAGAAATTTATAATTCGATCGATAAGAAAAAGCAAAGAGCAACAAAGATACAACCCCACCAGATCATAGACCAGTTGGAAAGGCAAACCCTGTCCCTGCTAAGTTCCACTGTTAGCGTGACAAAACACACAAAGCAGTGTGTAATGAGGAAGAGCAGGGGGCGAACCTGACAGCAAACTCACTCAGATGGACGAGTCAGATTAAACAATATATTTCATTGATCGTCTCCTCTGGGTTACTATAAAATAGTTTAAAGCATGAATGACTTCTGCATGTCGGCAAAGCTGAGAGGAAAGTGGAGGCCAGACAGCGCTGAGGCACAACTTTGACTTTGAAGGTAATCGGGCTCCGTGTCTGGTTTGTGCTGCACTTTTCACAGTAGCTCTATAGTGACTGTAGAGAAACGTACGTAGAAAATCAGACGGAGATCTTAGACTAGACAACCTCCAAGAACCACATTTTCCCCAGCAGCCAGTGGGTGTGCAACGTGCAGTGTGGTGGAGAACTCTGGAGCAAGTCTCATGTATGAAGTGAGTCATCTGGTCTACATGAATACAAAACGAATGAAAACTACAATCCTTCCAGCTCTGGGCCTGGGAGCTGACCTTTGCTCTCCTGGACGCCATTCGCCCAGTCTGGAGGTTACTGCTCCGATTACCACACACGCACGCACACGTGCGCACACACACTCGAGCACTGCTTGACAAACACATTTTACTCCTCACTTTGTCACTTCCTATTGGTAGATTCGACCTGCTGGCGTCACTCTGGCGTGCCCCTCATGGTGTCGGGCTTTTCACCGCTCTAATCTGTTCATCCTGTCCTCCACTCGTGTCAGTTATTAACCTCACATCTACAGCTGCCTCTTTAGCACAGGGAGGAGTCTTAATGGTCCCACAGCATGGCTCTCCCTGCCACTTCTTCCTCTAATTAATTTGTGACGCAGCGGTGGAGTCGTCGCCTCCATTTGCTGGGAGTACAAACACGAGCAGCTCGTGTAACCCCTCCGCCGATCCAGCCACCTCACCACGTTTAATGAGCCAGAGATCTGCGCTGAGAAGCCAATCACAGCTAGCCTTGCTCTGCACGTCAGTAACTGGCACCCAACGCTCTCTCACTTAGACTTCCCCTCCCCCTGGTTACTGTCGCTGCTGCCAGGCTTTACATAATATAATGACTGTTACAGTCAGCAGTGCCCCCCAGATAAATAAATAAATAAACAAACGCACACTTTCTCCCTTCGCTTTTCATCCACCACACCCTTCCAACACACTGCCAGGCCGATAACGGAGAAGAAAAGAATAGATGAGAAACACAGACTCAGCCCTACGATCACACCTCTCCTAACCCCAGCAGGATAAAACATTAAACATCTGTCACACTGACAAACTGTGGCGCTCCAAGGAATGCTTCCAGTTTGCACCAGCAGATAGACGGCGTCCACACAGACAACACACATGCAGCTCAGCATTCCGATAGAGGGCAGAGTTTTGTAATCCTCCCTCCTACTCCAGCAGTACAGTACCACAAAGAAACACTCCTCCCTTCTCCTCTACCCTCCCCCAACTCCTCAAACGCTCATCTTTTCCTCCCTCCTCTTTCACTGCAAAAATAAACACAAGCTTAATTTCAGGGGCCCCTTCGATGCCGCCAAAGCCGAGTGCTTCATTTGTTCACGTTATACCAGCCAACAGTGTGTGTGCACGTGAGTGTTTCTGAGGCTGGAGGGACGGGAACGGAGTAGCAGCACCGAGACACAGAGAGGCTTTTTCTTTATTGCTGTGTGTGTGTGTGTGTGTGTGTGTGTGTGTGTGTGTGTGCAGGGCTAGAAAAGAGGCAGAGACAGCAGCTCTCTCCTGAAATAACGCCAACTTGTAATTCCACCTCCCATCCCCCAAAACACACACACGTTTATTCAAAGAGCTGTCAATCAGGAGGGTGCTACTAAAACATTCTCCTCACAATTAAATCCGTAGTCTTCCTCTCACTGACGGCGCTGTTGGAAATCCATGGCAGAGATAACCTTGATGTCTTGTCCTGTCGATGTGGCACCAGATTAACAGTGTTTGCCAAACTGGGTGTAATGGTAATAAAGCGAGTGCACAGTCGTGAAAACCCATTTGCCTGACCGCCTCCTGTCTTTTGTCCACTCTGTCCTTTTTCTGTGGGAAAGTGTTTAATGTTCAAACTGATGGTTCTACTCGGCGGTGGACGCGAGTCTGATACGTCAGGCCCGACATCCAATCGCTTCACTTACTGATTTGATTTTTGCCCATTTTGTACTTTTCATCCAACTGTAAATATGGACGTTGTTATACTAAACTATTAGCACCTCAAGTCCAAATCCAACCTCTGATGTGGCTGCAGACGAGCAGCCATGCCTGTTAAAGTCTGCCTGTATTCATACGTAGTAGGTGCACTGCAGTTTATGCCGTCTGCAGGCAGGTTCACGTGGTCACACTCAGGCATGTAAACGTCTGCTCGGAGCCTCGCACTCCCAAAATCTATGCTGCTTCGAGCCAAGCGGACCACAGCGTATCTGCAGACACTGAAGCTTATAGGACACCATTAAGTATGCACAGCACATGTGCTGATGACACAAACATAATAATGTCAGTACAACAAAATCACAGAATGTACTCGGAGTTTTCTGGACTTTACAAGTCAGGTAAACATTTGTGATGATGTACTTTGGCTGTGTGTATTGTGCTTCTGCTGCTATGGCTTATTCCACTTTCTGTTACTCAATGCTAACGATGGAGCTACCATCCTGTTCTTATTTTGACCTTTGTTATTCTGATCTGTTTCTCAGATGGGATGATATATGCACTGAATTCAGCTGCAGAAAAAGTGGAACCACTCCCCTCACGATACTCTGCTGCTGGTTTGTTAGTCATGCATTTTATCAACAAATCAGCAGAAGAATAAACAGGTGTTTCAGACAGCTGCCATCCAAACGCACACAATGAAAGCCAGACTGCTTACAGCTCCACCTATTGACTAAAAGACAAGACTATCAATAACCTGACTACTGTGACTACGTGTGATTTCACAGTCTGCTACTTTGTGGCTGAATTGTTTCCAATTGCCTCCATGTTGTTATCATAGCACTAATAGTTGACCATGTAATATTAAGCAGCAAATAACCTGTCACGGTTGGACTAGAGAAGCATCGAAGGTGAAGGCAACACCCATCTCCTCTCTTAGCTTCTCGTGTTCCTCCCTCGTGGTGCTGTAACTCGGTATAGCAAACACAGCTTGGTATCACTGCAGCCTTCTTCCTATACTTTCCCACCACTAGTCTGTCAGCTTGGTTAGCCATCACCAGTTGGTCTGTTTATTTTTGGTCCCACAGGAGCTTAGCTTAATCATTCTCAGCCAGAATAAGGACAATTTTGACAAAACACACTGTCAAGAATATTAAAACTTGAAGTTTCTCTCCTAAAACATTAAAAAATGAGATATTATTCCTTCTTGTCACTGCGTCTCATTGACAAACTGGTGCATAAATAGAACGCTGACTGACAACATGACAATGCTAACTACCTGGAGCACAAGCACCTCTCTTCCACTGATGTTGTTGGACCTTACTAAAACAAAATGTCCCGGGTGGCTTGTGTCCTATCCACAGTAACGTCATTCCTGCTGTATGGTGGAAACGCCTTGTTGCTAATCATATCAACCATCCTTCAGGAAAGTACCAGAGTCAGCTACCATCTGGCTTCTTCAGCTCGTGTGCTAGAAAAGACAGAGATGTGCAGAAAACAATAAAACCTTCCTTGTGATTTCAGGACGAAGGAGCCTAGCTCATTGGTCCAGCAGACACACTAAAGCAGCAATGCGCGCACACACACACACACACAC